CCTGTCATTTTGAGCATTGGCATTTCGTTCCATGGTTATAGACTTGAGTAGCTCCATATTATGTATTATGACATACGTTTATGTTCGGTTTTAATTTTCGAGTGGTTCAGGATTAATTTGGAAGACTGACTCTCAATTTTGAAGCTTTGAGTTGGAAGAGTTTACCAAAGTTTGACTTTTGGATAAACGGACTCGGAATCGAATTTTTATGGTTTCGATAGGTTCGTATGACTTGTATGTATCTTCAAATTTGGTTTTAGAGGTTCCTAGAATAATTCGACACTATTTGTTGAAAGTTGGCAATTTGAAGAACTTAAGAGTTCATAAATATGACCAAGAGTTGACTTTGTTGTTAATGGACTCCAATTGGTGTTCCACACTTTGGATAGGTCTATAAAGTTGAATTGAACTTGTGTGCAAAGTTTGGAAGAAATACTAAGTGTCTATGTGTGATTCAGACACTCTTTTAAAAGAATAAAGATTTAACAACTTAAGAGAAATTCTATTCAGTTGGAGCCTCGATTCTTTGTTGTGATTTTCCTATGGGTGTTTTGAGACTTTGGATAAGTTTGGATAATATATTTGTACTTGTTGGTACGATCATATGGGGTCCCAAGGGGCTCGTGAGTGTTTTGAAATATTTGTTGAGAAACTACTTAAGTTAAGGATTTGGAGTTTTAGCACGGTCAATATCGGGTCAAGACGACTTCTTTTCGGTGTTTTTAGTGTGCGATCAAGTTCATAGCGTGTTTTAATAGTGGAAATGCACATATGGTTTGTATCCTGAAGGTTTCAGATGAGTTTCGGGTGCTAAAACAAAGATTTTGCAATTGCTGATTTTTTGGCGCAACAATTTTAAAAATATTGGTTATATCCCTGAAATTTTTAGACTTTCTTTAAAACTTCAAAACATCATATCTCCCTCATTTTAAGGCTAAATTGGTTGATTCAATAAGGCTATATTGGGTGTAATCTCACAAGGATTATGTTTGAATTATCATATGTAACTTTCGGGATCATCTAGTATGATTCGTGTTGGGACAACTGTTGTATTTTTTTTTTATACTTATTTCGAGATTTAGTTATTTTTTCTCATAAAGTTTTGGAGCTAGGAAAGAGGCCATTTTTGAGAGAGTTTTCGTCTGTTTCATTAGAGTAATTAATACTAACTCTAATTTATGATTATAACTTGAATCTATCATTGATTTTGGCTCTAAATCAAGGAATCTAAATGAAGAAAAGAGGGTTTTGGCTTGACAGATAAGAAAGTGTATTTTGGGGGGTTTTGGCAAAACTTTCCGAAAGTGAAAAATAGAGATTTGAACCCTGATTTGGAGTTGATTTTGGATGAAACTTGTATATTTGGACTATTATTGGAATGGGTATTCGGGATTTGTGAGTTTTGTCAGGTTCTGAGGTGCGAGCTCGGTTTGACTTTTTGGTTGATTTCGAGTATTTGATTAAAGATTTGACCTTTGTCGTTTGTGTTTGGTTCCTAAGGCATTATTTGATGTTATTGAGTTGTTTTGGCTAGATTTGAGCTGTTCGGAGGTCGATTCATACGGGGAGGCATTTTCAGAGTAATTATTTTCCTTGTTTGAGGTGATGAGCGTTTATACACATGTCGTGCGTATTCACGTTGGGGGTAGATTTTAGATTACTCTATTCCTTATTTGGTTGCGTGTTCTACTTGATTCTATGTGTTATTCAATTAATTAACTATGTGAGCATAATAAACCAGGCTAAGGCTAATGTTAAGGCGATTAACGTCTTAGTTGAACATGATGAACTAATTTACCCGTATGTTATGAACAGACATCCTTACTTGTTCTTGTCACGACCCAAAATCCCAGCCAATCGGGGTCGTGATGGCGCCTAACACCGGTTACTAGGCAATCCAACACACAACAGTTAAACACGAAAAAACAGCAATAATGACTAACAACAGGATAATAACATAGTGTAAAAAAATAATTTGGAGATAAACTTAATAAGTCTAGAACCAATATCTTACACAACCATCCCAAGATGTGGAGTCACAAGTACATGAGCTACTAGAGTATACTAAATATAATATTTTGAAAGAAGTACAACATTGTCCAGGAAATGGAAATAGTAGAATAGAAATAAGATGATGACTCAAGGCCTGTGAGTGGAATGTAGCTCTACCTTGAATCACCTATCCAATATATGCTAAGCACCTATTAGGGATCTGCTGGTACCGATATCCGGATCTGTACGAAAAGTGCAAAAGTATAGTATAAGTATAACTAACTCAATGTACTCAGTAAGTATTGAGCCTAACCCCGATGAGGTAGTGACGAGGCTAAAATAAGACACCTACAATAAACATGTACAGTTATATATCAAGAAGTAACAAAATCAAATAAAGTATCAAATATAACCACAAGATAGGGACAAGTGAAAGAGGTAACAAGTACACAAGTAAAGGGTAATAAATGAAAACATAAAGTAAAGTGTCACCCATTAAAGCTTAACTTGTAATTTATCAACAACTTTGAACAACTTTTCAAAAGTAAATAATGAAGCCACAAGCCTAGTTGATATTTAGCTTAAAGTATATATATATATATATATATATATATATATATATATATATATATATATATATATATATATATGCATATCGCCTTATGTTTACTCGTGTTTTTTGGATTTCGAGTGTAAAATGTATTGATTTATGTTAATTCATGATGTTTTTATATATAGGAATCATCCGGAGGCAATAGGGAGCGAAAAGATTAGAGCCAAAACGGAGAAAAAAATGGAAAATGTTGAATTCGAGAGCCACATGTAGCGCCCCACGCCACCTGTGGCGCAATTTATAGAAACTTAAAAGGGCCAACACCAGGGCTAGTGCCCCACGCTGCCCTGGGCGCTTGTGACGTGAATTTCTCCAACTTTTTCCGGGACAAGGTTATTTCAGCCCAAGACCTACCCAACGCGTATAGAAGCAAGACTAAGACTATTTTTAGAGGAGAGACGCCACATTGAAGGAAAACTACACACGAGAAACATTGGGAAGCGAGGATATCTCAGTTTTCTTCATCTCTTCTTAGTATTTTCAATTATCCAACACTTGTGAAAATGTTTGATATTATTATGAGTGGTTAAAGCCCATAATTCTGGGGTTGTGATTTAGCCATGAATATTGGTGTTTAACGTTAACTTAACCTTAACTACAGTTTACCAATATATGATTGTTTCTTCAATTCTATAATTAATTGTTTAATTATCTGGCCAGCAGTTAGGTTCTATGTACTATCTATGCTATGCTTGGAAAAGCCATGTTTAGATTAGATAAGAATTGAAGAGAGCATGATCTTAACTCTGAGGGGGTGGGGAAAGATTTGTGGTTAGGATAGCAATATACTTAGTCACCATGCTTAAATAAATATTTTAATCTTAATGCATTCTTAATAGATTGATTCCATAGGAATATAAGCATTAATCTATTTTGAATATGCGAGTAGTACTTCTGGAGAAGGTTACGAGAGCAATTGTTTGATTAATTAGAAACCACAAGTGAACTGTATGAAAGGGAGAGTCTACTAGAGCACAATAGGAATGATGAATCGATCACAACCCTGAAATATTTGTCTCTACAGAATACACAACAACAATTTTGCTGCTTTGTAATTTAGTTACTAGTTAGAATTATTGTTTAGTATAATCACACTTTTGAACTCGGATTGACTCAACTGAAGAACAATCTTGTTGAATTTAGTGCGTAGTTAATACATGCCTATGTGGGTTCGACATTCAAATTATCATTTTATTACTTGTACGACCACGTATACATGCGTGTGTGTTTGGGAGCAATAAGTTTTTGGCATCGTTGCCGGGTACTTGAATATTGACTACTTTATAATGTTTGTTTTAATTGCTTATTTCGTCAAGTCTAACGTTTCTTAATTGTTTCTTTGCTCTCAGGAACTATACTTGAATGCGAAGGGTCAGAAGCCAGGACAGACTTCAAGGCTTTGACCCCGAACCTGAACGAACATTTCACATGAGGTTGAGGGAAGCAAGGGACACAGATAATCTTCAGGCACTTGTTCAATTTCCTATGCACATGGCAGAGGAGAAACATATGGCTGTTCAGGAGGTGGCGATGCCCAGCATTGCTAATGTCACCTCCAACATTGTGAAGCTCGGAATCACTAGCAATTTGAGCGGAAACAAAACATGACCCAGCTACTACATGCGAATGGGCAGTTTATGGGTCTTCCACACGAGGATCCAAAACAACATATCCTGAACTTCTTGGAGATCACTGATACTTATATCACTAACAGAGTCACTCCAAACTATGTGAGGCTCACGCTGGTCCCGTTCTCTCTGTTGGGAAAAGCAAAGTGGTGGTTGAAGGCAGAACCAGCTAATTTTATTCCATCATGGCATGATCTGGCGAGGAAATTTTTGGCATGGTTCTTTCCTTCAGGAAAAACTACAAAGATCAGAAGTGAGATAGTCGCCTTCAAACAGAAACCGAGGGAGTCTTTATACTCGGCTTGGGAAAGGTTCAAGGGGCTGATCAAAGACTGTCCTCATCACAAGCTGACAAATGAAGTGTTAGGTCACACTTTCATAGAAGGGCTACATCCTGAGATAAAGATTATGGTAGATGCGACAGCGGGAGGTCAAGTGTTGGAGAAAAGCTTCTATAAGATATATGCATTATTGAACAAATTCTCCAAAAGCGATCCTGATTGGCAAGGAGAGATGGGCAGACACATAGTGCAAAAATCTGTAGGGGTTCTCGAGTTAGATGTAGTGTCTGCATTATCAGCATAGTTTGCCGCATTCGCCAACCAAGTCAATCAGATGACATTGGTTATTAAAAAGAAACAAGCCAAGCTAATGCAACAAGTTCAAATATTTTGTGAAGTATGTGGAGAGGCTCACACGAGCGACTTATGCCCAATAAATCCTTGTCTGTTTTGTGGGTAATGCAAATAGGGGCCAGACAAACCAGTATGGGAACACTCACAATCATAACTGGAGGAACCACCCAGACTTCTCTTGGGGTGGAAACCAAGGTGCTCAAAATCAGTACAGGACATAAGCGCCTCAACAGCAATATAGACCACCTCAGGCTGAACAACCTGCAAACCCAACGAGTCACCTTGACGAGATGATGAAAAAATTAATGGCTAACTAGCAAACTCAAGCAGCAGCCCACGCTGTAGCAATTTGAAATTTCTAGCGACAAATAGGGCAACTTGCCAATGCCCAAAATACTTGACCTATTGGAGCCCTTCCAAGCGACACTAAGGCTAACCCTAAGGCACCTATTAATTAGGTGTTGCTGAGGAATGGGAGATAGTTGGAAGAAGTCCAGTCGAAAAAGAGAAAACAAGTGACCTTTCATGAGAAACTGGCCACCATAGAAGCAGAATCAGAAAAATCAAAGGAGTCAGAGAAGCCAACTGTAGAGGTGGTGGCTAAGCAACCCCCACCATTAATTGCAAGGCCGCCACCTCCGTTCCCTCAGAGATTGTATAAAGTGAAGGATAATGTCGCTTATAAAAAGTTTCTTGATATTTTAAAGCCGGTGCAAATCAATATTCCACTGGTAGACACCCTGCAAGAAGTTCCTAAATATGCCAAATACATCAAGGACATAGTGGCCAATAAAAGGAGGTTGACCGAGTTCGAGATTGTGGAACTCATTGAGGAATGTAGCTCAAGAATTAAAATCAAGCTACCTCAGAAATTGAAGGATCCGGGTAGTTTCACTATCCAAATATTGATTGGTAAGCACAGAGTCGGGCGAGTTTTGTGTGATCTTGGAGCGAGCATCAATTTGATACCGCTATTTGTGTTTAAACAGTTGGGTTTTGGGGAGCCGCGCCCTACAACAGTGATTTTATAGTTGGTTGATCGCTCCTTTGCTCATCCTGAATGTGTAATTGAAGACGTGTTAGTTCAAGTGGGGTCTTTCATATTCCCTGCTGATTTCGTTATTTTAGACTATGATCCTGATCAGCAAGTCCCATCTCTTTTGGGGCGTCCATTCCTAGCCACGGGACGAGCTATAATTGATGTATGTGAAGGTAAGATGACGATGAGAATGGGTGATCGAGTGGAGGGGTATTCAACGTGTATAAAGCAATCATATTGCTAGCCCACTATGAAGAGTTATCTATGATTTATATGGTGGAAAGTGATGTGAGGTCATTGATGTCGTATATGAGCCCCATAGATCCACTTGAAAGAGCCTTTATAGGGATGAAGAAGACAATGAAGATGAGATGATGGGAGAAATTGAGCAAGTACTTGACATGTCTTGCAGTTATGTCCATGGGTTTGGGAGATTTGAGTAGTTGGACAGGCCTGTCACTCTGACCCCTTCTAAGCCATCTATTGAAGAAGCTCCGAAGCTAGAACTTAAGCCCCTTCCAGCACATCGGCGCTATGCTTATTTAGGGAACCGTGAGATTTCCAGTGATTGTCTCATCCTGCTTGACCGATGTGCAAGAAGAAAAATTGCTCAGAGTACTTCGCGAGCATAAAAAGGATATTGGGTGGACAACTGCTGACATCAAAGGAATTAGTCCTCCATTTTTCATGCATAAAATATTTCAAGAAGATGGACACTGCCCCAGTGTTGAGCAACAAAGAAGATAAATCCCATTACGAAAGAGGTCGTGAAGAAGGATGTAATTAAGTGGCTCGATGCAGGTATCATCTTTCCTATCTCTGACAACAACTGGATAAGCCAGTGCAATGTGTGCCCGAAAATGGGGGGATGACCATGGTAGAGAATGAGAAAAAAGAGTTAATTCTTACTCGCACCGTAACGGGGTGGAGAGTTTGTATTGATTACAGAAGACTCAACAAAGCAACCCGCAAGGACCATTTTTCACTTCCATTCATTGACTAAATGTTAGAAGGATTGGCGGGGCATGAATATTATTGCTTCCTTAATGGTTATTCGGGGTACAAACAGATTGTCATATGCCTAGAGGATCAGGAGAAGACCACTTGTACTTGTCCTTATGGCACTTTCGATTTCAAGCGAATGTCGTTTGGTGTTTGTAATACAGCAGCCATTTTCCAGAGATGCATGATGGCTATTTTCACTGATATGGTGAAAAAATTTGTGGAAGTCTTTACGGATGATTTTTCAGTCTTTGGGTCTTCTTATGATGACTGTTTGAAGAATATGGGCATGTTGTTGGCCCATTGTGAAGAAAAAAATCTTGTGTTGAATTGGTAAAAGTGCCATTTTATGATGCAAGAAGGCATCTTATTGGGCCACATAGTGTCAAGGAGCAACATTGAAGTTGATAAGGTAAAGGTTGATGCAGTTGAAAAGTTACCTCCACCTATTTCTGTAAAGGGTGTCTGGAGTTTCTTAGGACACGCGAGATTCTATAGACGCTTTATTAATAATTTTTTAAAACTTGCTACTCTTTTGTGCAAGTTGCTTGAAAAGGATGTGACATTCAATTTTGATGAAGCCGCCCTGAAGGCATTTGAAGATCTCAAAAAACAGGTGTGGCTACCCCCATTATTACGTCACCGGATTGGTCCTTACCATTTGAACTTATGTGTGATGCAAGTGACCACGCTATAGGGGCAGTGCTAGGCCAGAGGAAGCACAACATGTTTTATTCCATCTATTATGCGAGTAAGACTCTTGATGATGCACAAATGAACTACACCACCACTAAAAAGGATTTGTTGGCCGCTGTGTGGGCCTTTGAGAAATTTTGGGCATACTTGGTGGGACCAAAAGTCATAGTCCATACCGATCATGCAACAATCAAGTATCTATTTACAAAAAAGGAATCCTAGGCTAGATTGATGCGCTAGATTTTGTTGTTGCAGGAATTTGATGTAGAATTACGAGATCGGAAGGGCATAGAGAACCAAGTAGCTAACCATCTATCAAGGCTGGAAAATCATGACTATATGGATGAGGGTGGACAAATTAAGGAGGCATTCCTTTATGAGAAACTGTTTGCTATCACCCAAGACCCTCCCCCATGGTATGCGGACTATGTGAATTATCTGGTGAGTGGGGTACCTCCTCCTGAAATTAAATCTGAAGCGAGGACGAGGTTTTTATATGATGTAAACTTCTACTATTAGATGAGCCATTCTTGTACAAATAGTGCGATGATTAGTGGATGAGGAGATGCATTCTAGAGAAGGAGGTGGAATTAGTGTTGTATGATTGCCACGCCTCACCTTATGAGGGCCATCATGGAGGCGATAGGACAGCTGCAAAGGTATTACAATCTAGGTTCTTTTGGCTAACATTATTCAAGGATGCCCATGCATTTGTTAAGAAGTGTGACCAGTGTCAAAGAATAGGAACAACCACAAAGAGGCATGTGATGCCTTTGAATAACATCCTAGAGGTCGAGATTTGTGATGTGTGGGAGATAGATTTTATGGGACCATTCCCATTGTCCATAGGAAACAAATATATCTTTCTAGCCGTTGATTACGTGTTAAAATGGGTAGAGGTGATCGCATTGCCAACAAATGATTCCATGGTGGTAGATGCGTTTGTGAAGAAGAACATATCCTCGAGGTTTAGAACTCCACGTGCCTTGATTAGTGATGAAAGGACACATTTCTGTAATCGGTTGTTGAATTATCTTCTAGCTAAATATGGGGTACGCCATAGAGTTGCCACGGCATATCATCCGCAAATAAGTGGGCAAGATAAGGTGTCTAACAGAGAAATAAAGCAAATATTAGAGAAGATAGTGAGTGTGAATAGGAAGGATTGGGCTACAAAGTTAGATGATGCCTTGTGGGCATATAGCACTGCATACAAAACACCAATTGGGGCGTTGCCAGATAAGCTTGTTTATGGGAAGGCATGTCACTTGCCTCTTGAAAACACAAGGCGTACTGGGCTATTAAAAAGTTGAATATGGTCTTTGAAGCCGCGGGTGAGAAGAGACTCTTGTAGTTGGATGAGGTAGATGAGTTCAGGATGCACTCATATGAAAATTCAAAGCTTTACAAAGAGAAAACGAAAAGATGTAATGACAAGCGTATCAATACATGTCGAACCGAGCAAACAGGTACTATTGTTCAGTTATAGGCTCAATCTGTTTCCTAGGAAGTTTAAATCGAGATGGTCAGGTCCATTCGAGGCGGTGAGAGTCACTCATTATGGTGCAATTGAGCCGCGCGCTTTACATGGTGAAAGAAATTGTTTAGTGAATAGGCACATAGTCAATCATTATTGGGGAGGAATCATTGATCGTCAGAAGATCAAGGTAGTACTCGTTGATGAGTAAGCGAGGTTTTACGTCGTGCCGCGACGTTAAATTAGGCGATTGTTGGGAGGAAACCTAATTTTTATTGCATTCATAGTTTAGTTTTTCAAAAAAAAAAATAGTTAGAGTAGACTAGATGTTTTTATTTTCTTTGTAGACATAGAAATTATAGGTAGGGGCGCTGGGCTGGTGGAGGCATCTTTCTATGGCTCGTGATAATGCAAACAAAGGCAAGGGAGTAAGGAACTCCTCCACCCCTGCCCTCGCGCCCAGAAAGAGCAAGCAATGGGAAGGATCATCTAGGCAAGCGAAATGGAAACAAGTTGACGACGGATCGACGACAACTCCATTGAGATCAAGGCCTAGCTTGGATAGTTCTTGATGATGCCATCTGACGGCATAATACCTTTGTCCTGTATGGGCGCTACGTCTTCGAGTTGGGCATTAATGTGAAAGCTTTGGAAAAGAACTTACTGGACGTGCTTGGCCAATTGGGAGAATTGCACATGGACAAACTCCTAGAATGCCCCGGCCATGCAAATTTGAGCATGGTGCAGGAAATGAATGCCAATAGGAATGCGGACTTGTTTATATCATATGTCCGTGGGAAGGACGTGCCACTGGATAGGCGGTTCTTATGTGAATTTTTGGGAGTTGAGAACTCTAACCCTCGGAGGCTACAAAAATTTGTAAAAAGCCCAAGCTACACGACGAAACGTCACACTCTTTATGGCGTCAATTCAAATGCCAAGTGGACCAGAACTGTCACGCCCCAACCTCGGGAGGCGCGACCGACGCTCAATCGAGTGAACCCAACTGAGCAAGCCTTTTGAACACTTTCTGCCCAACTCACTATGACCAAGAAAACCATGCTTCCATTTATTTAAACAGTAGGAAAGGTCGTAAATATAACATTGCTAATTCATTTCATATTACCACATTTAAACCATAGTTAAGTTCCCAAGATTTCATACAGATACAGTTAGAAGAACTAGAGTTTAGAAACTACAACACAGTTCATTGACCCATCCATTACCCGTACATAACCCACACAAACTTCTACGGAGCCTCTAAAGATACAAAAGACAGTTATGATAACGCCGGCAACAAGGCCCCGCTATACCTCAAAAGTGGAAATTTATAACAAAGACATACTGCATAACCCCTGGAAGAAAAGGGGCTCACCAAGGTTGCTGAGTGGAGGATGCTCCGCTACCTACGATCGGCACTGTCTGCTATGGAGCCACCTATATCCATTCAAAGATGTAGCGCCCCCGGCAAAAGGGGCATTAGTACCATTGAATAGTACTAGTACGTATAACTAAACACCATCTCATTAGAAAGAACTACCATACAAGAACAAAGAAATCATAAGGATCAATCAAAAGCTTTAAACGATCATCACATCATCAAATAAAAGAATCATATAACTTTCGCATAATTTCCATAGCTTTAGGTTGGGGCATTTAATACTGTTCATCATCATTCACAATACCATCGCTTTTATTGCGCGGAGTCCGATCACGACCCGATCAGCTAGGTTGCCTCATTTGAGGCATGAATCTCAATCACAATCTCATTCTCACTTTCTGGATTCATCTAAGCACAATACCACCATGTGTGCGGTATGGTGTCTGATCACGGCCCGATCGGCAAGGCCGTCTTACCAAGACGTTGTTCCTTTTTCATTAATCATCTCATTTCAATCATTATTTCACATATATCAATTCATAGGTACTTGGGGCCACAATTATCACATCTTACTTGGCACTAGGCCACATTTCACATCATTTCCACTTGCAACGTTAACCTTGAAATTTAAGATAATAGGCACATACAAGAGCAATTAAAGTTGTAAGCATAGAGAGGATTTCACATAGTTTGGCACACAATCTCAGTTTAAACTTGACTTGAAGTCTAGGCATTTCAACACAAGGTTCACATTCTTCACGCATCTTTAAATTACCAAGAATAGTATATTGAACACATTGAGATGCACCTTTCACGTATATATATAATTGCAACACCAATTCATATGAAATAGCAATCAATACATCAATCAAATTTCGGTCTTACAACATTTGCATGGACACCAAAGGAGCTCAATTTCTAAGAAGAGGGGGTTTTAGCCATACATACCTCAATAGAGCTTTCCTTAAATTCTTACAAAATTCCGGAACTCTTAGCAACTTCGATCTATTTTATGAGAATTATAAGTTGAACCAAAAATTAGAGAGATGATTAAGATTCTAGCTCATTTGAGTGTA